CGACAATGACAAAACAAGGAGTAAAACGAGGATTCGGGGATGCCTTTGAAAGATGGAGACAATTGAAGGAGGAGAAAAACTTTTCGTCCCACGCTAAACTTGCTACATTCCTCATTGACAAGTGAGTAAGGCATTGACATCTTCTTCTTACTTTTAATACATGTACATTTCGTATGTAAAATGTATTGTCCAGTACAGTCTATCTTGTCTAAGAATGTATGTATGATCGCGCTTAGCAACGCGCGCATGCTAGAGATAGCCCATTTCCATTTGCCTCGACAAACTGGATCAATTGAGAAATATATGGCTTTTAGCCCTTATATATTACCGTGTAATCTAACTCATATTGTGTTGTATCAGCGCCGCTTTTGTTCACAATGTGCTGATACGCTGAAGAAATATGTTCATCGGCTAGTTCAGCTCAGTATATTTCTTCTTCGGTCACCACATTTCAAATAACTATTACGTGCTGGTATACAGAAAGATACAAACACATTAATGACTCAGGGGGTTTATTCTTTGACTCCATTACAATACTACATAATCCATGGCTACTCTCCAAATATACTGGAATTGTATATCGCTATTATAGCAAAGTGATTAGAGACAGACAAGTAACTCGATAAAATAAATGATTCGTGTTTGCATATTGTGGTCTTCATGTACCAAGTTATATGGCAATCTGAAACAGTAGCCTATAGGCATACGTAGTTACAATGTTTACTGTTTAGTTCTGTGCGTATTCACCTGTATTCACCTGTAACTATTACTAGTGTTGTACTCTAGTTATCAGATAGTACTGACACAAACCATATGCTGGCCATTTGTTGCGATATTAAGACCAATGCTGTTCCAGTTATAGATGTGTTGTTTACAAAACTCTTCTCTATTCAGTTATTATGGTCCCAGCACCTCAGCCCCGAGTAGGAGGCAGTGGAATAAGCCACACCCAGCTTCTCCATCACTGTCCAGCATTGGGTTTGCATCATCAGCAACAGTTTCCATCAGGTCAGTAGTCAGTGCCACAATTTTATTTAGAAACACTTTGTGCCTAAAACAACCACTTCATCTATACGCTCCATCTACAGAGGGGACGTGTCGTCTGTTCATACAGGGCTGGATCAAGGCACAGAAAATGTCTCAGCAGTTCTACATGAAAGGTAGATAAAGACTTCCAGCATCCTAATGTGACTATAGATGAAAATCAAACGTCTTATTAATGTATTCATGTACAATACATTATGTGACCGCTATGTTTATGTTAGTCTACAGAACATGAGCTTCCAGGATGCTGACAGCCAAGTCATTAACGAGCATGAGATTAATGACCTAATGAACACTGTGTAAGTGACAATGTCTCTGATTCAAGTAATATGTTTTATTCAAAAGCACTTTTGAAGAAACTCAATGACACTTTACAAGCAAATATTATTATATAATAAGTGCAACCCAATCTTGGGATAAGTTGCAACCATTAGTGTAAGTTTTTCCATCTCATTTCACAGCATTGATTGGGGTGACAGTGAAGGTGCTACTGGTGAGGATGTGCTAGGCCTCGGAGCTGTTGATAGTGAAGATGAGGACTACACCCCGCATATTTCCATTCGGTACGTTACATTACATTCTAATTGCCACTGCTTCATAGTTGAATTAAAATACTCTTATGGACACATTGATTGGAAATTGGAAAAACATGAAATAAGAAAGGGGTTCTTATGCCCAGTTCTCCTTGGTCATGAGAAATGTCCTCCAATACAACTTCCTCTCTGCAGGCCTATATGATATTTTCTATTCATACATCTATTTCTGCCACCAGAGTGGCAGAGTGGATAGCACTCCTGCCTCTCAGCAAGAAGATTCTGGGTTCAAATCCCGGTCGGAACAGGGCCTTTCTGAGTGGAGTTTGCATGTTCTCCCTGTGTCTGCGCAGGTTTCCTCCGGGTACTCCGGTTTCCCCTACCACTAAAAACATGTGCAATAGTTCAGGGTGAATGAATGTGTGTTTGTGAGTGCGAATGTGGGACAACAGATGCAAATCAGCCCATGGCTACAATCCGGAGTGATGTGTTCATTAACATGTACTGTCCCAACCAAATAAACAATAAATAATTAAAATAAATAATCTATAATAGTAAAATACTTATTATATGTGTCTTTAGGATGGGTGGAGCATCGCAGGCACCACCATGTCTAGACACACTGCCAATCATAGAGGCCAGTGAGACTGTTCACGACGTCCCAGATGAAGAACCTCCATCAGACGACGGACCTCCACTTCACAATCCAGACTTTCCTGACAAACTGAACGTCATTAATGAGGAAGACCTCATAGGCAAACATGCCTCCATCATTTATGATGACAGTTTGAAACAGCTGGCAACATTCCTGGTGCTTCCAGTGAAACACTGCCCTTACACAGGTGGTTTGCAGAACCCGGTGGAGTGTCAATATAGACCTCCATTTGAAGTAAGCATTATCCACCGGGGTACTGCAAGCATCATGGAATGGGTAAGTTTTGGCGTCTCAGTAAATAAAACAAAATTGAAGAGTTGTGTTGAAGGCACTTCTAATATGTTGTCAATACTGTTTTGAAACTTTATCAAGCATCCAGTCTTAGATTTTGACTAATTTGTGTCCCATTTCTTCTCAGACATGCCCTGTTGGTCATATAGTGTGGAGATGGGGTTCACAGCCCTATGTGAAATATGGAATGCTGACAGGGGACTTCATGTTGGCTACTAACATCCTGCTCTCTGGAAGCAACTTTGCAAAAGTGTCACTCTTGTTCAAATTTATGAACATGGGTATAGTCGATCGAAGTTCCTTTTTCACAATACAGGACACATACCTTGTGGACACTGTGAAAGAGTTTTGGGAGGAGAGGAGGGCTGAGGCCATTCAGCGTCTTAAAGACAAAGATGTTGTCATCATAGGTAAGTTACATGTTCTCTTCATTCATTACAGAGTAGTATATATAGATGTCACTAAAAGATTTTATTAAAAAGCTATTTATAGATATAGGTAAAGCACATATAATATATAATACATAATAAAATTTAATACTTTTGTTTGTTTGTTTATTCATACATTAAACAGCGGACGGAAGAATGGACAGTCCCGGACATTGCGCCCAATACTGCACTTACACAGCACTGGAAAATGACTCTCGAGAAATCATCTCTGTCATCACTGTTGACAAAAGGGAGACTGGACGAAATTCTGTCATAATGGAGAGAGAAGCATTCGTAAGGACAGTTGACACTCTTGTGAAAGAGGTGAAACTGGTGGAGGTCTGCACTGATGCTCATGTCCAGATATCTGCATTAATGAGTAAGCTGGCTTTGCCATTGTGTATTAACAGCACATTTACTGCTACTTTATCAACGGTGTAGGGTGGTGCACAAGTTATTCTTGTTTTTCTCTTAGACAAAGGGAAAGACAAAGACCTAGGACTGAAGCACAGTTTGGACATGTGGCATGGGGCAAAAAATCTTGCTAAAAGGATCCATGCTGTAAGTGCATTTGCAATTTGTATGACTTGTTTTGCTTCACTCAAACACAAAATTGGAGGAATTTTACTATGTATACCATTGTGTATGTCCAAGGCTGCACAGGTCAGAGGTCAGTCCAGTTTGAGTCGCTGGCTGAAAGATATAGTCAACCACTTTTGGTGGTGCTGCAAAACGGCAGATTCCTACCTGCGGTTCCTTGTAAGTTGTTATAGTTTATTATAAATGTATCAAAACATTGTAACTTCGAAAACTAACAGGACTTATGTACAATGTGCATGCATATTTTTTGTAGGAGCTGTGGCTTGGGCTCCTACATCATGTCACAAATGAGCACCAATGGGTGCAGGGAGGCTGTCAGCATGCAGAATCAAATGGCACACAGAATTGGCTTGACCGAGGATCCCCAGTACATGAGGCCCTGAAGAGCATAATTATGAATAAGAGATGGCTCAACGAGGTCCACAAATACCTAAACTTTAGGTATTTGGATTATGTAAATATACCATGCTTTACAGTCGTTTGAAATAAAACACACAATGTGTCTTCCCACGCTACAGGTCAACCTCTGATCTGGAGTCATTCCAAAATCATCTTTTGACGTATGCTAGCAAGCGTACAGCTTTTTGCCCTCCTGTCTTTGAGACCAGGATGCTACTTGCAGCAATAGATTACAACTACCACAAAGACCGCCCAGACCAGTTACAATCAGACGGAACCAAAATGTAAGTAATGTACTCTGGATCTACGCTGTTGTGCAGCTGTTATTGCTTAAACACCGCATGCACCTCATCTTTCTGACTTTAGTGAGTAACTAACTACGTACTGTTGATTTATAAAGCGCATTTTACAGACCAAGTCACCCAAAGCGCTTTACTATGTTCAGATTTCAGATTTCATTGTTCCAATTACTCCACACATGGTGATGACGGAAGCGAGTCCTGAACACACTGGTGCATCAAAGCCCCCAATCAACACCATCCATTCACTCTCTCCTTTACATTCATACCTATTGTGCATCTTTTTAGTGGTAGGGGAAACTGGAGCACCCGGAGGAAACCGGAGCAGAAACGGGAGGACATGCAAACTCCACTCAGAAAGGCCCTGTTCCGCCCGGGATTCAAACCCAGGACTTTTTTGCTGAGAAACGAGAGTGCCACCCACTCTACACAACAAATGGCCCCAATGTCAAATTTACACAACATGACAAGACTAATAATCAAATGTTCTATTGATTACAAAACATTCCACCTGGCCAATTCAAAGTTTATACATTCTTTGCCTTGAGAACATCCAGTTATTGGTGATAATGGTGAAGTGTACACTATCACTATTGTGAAAAAGTACACAACACAAACATTATGAAACCAGCCCTTTGCCATGTTGTATTTCCCTCTTCCTTCTGATATTCTATTCTAGGTACAGGAGACTCAACAAGAAAAAAGTTTGCAGGTATATGCTTTATACCCAGAAGACACCCAAAACGTATGGCTACATCCCAGATCTGCAAACCATCATTCTTCGGAGGAGATTGGGTGGTCCTGGGATGCCCAGACATCGAATATCTCGACCGGATGACCCCAGGAGATATGGGCTGCTTCCCCCTGTGCCACCACCAACCATTGAGGAACTCATGCGTACCCAAGTCAGAAGGGGTTTTGGTAGGTAGAATGCCAAAACCTGAACGCATCAACATTGATCCTGAGGGTACTTTACTTATCTGCACTGGAGTGTTCAAACAATCACAATCACTCTCTCCCACACTTATTTCCTTGCACACTCTCAGGCCCGTGCCCTCCTCACAACACTTCTCCCACACACACCCTTTGCCCAAGTATGACATATGTAAATCATCCAGGTAAACAGGTAATGCCAATCACCTATCATCATATAATTCCTCCGCTGTACTAACCACACATTACGCATACAAAACTCACACTGCTACCAAAGAGCATCTGTTTGCAACTAACTTCACTGTCTTTTAGGTTTCCTCAGGTCCAGCCTTTCAGACTGAACACACATGAAGCCCACTTTCAAGAGACATCCAAAACTCGACTGTTCTGATTGCAATTGGACAGTGTCACAACCTGGTTATGTTACCACACTGCACTGTGTTATTATGAGTAGAACCTTTTTGTTTCCTTGTATGTCTAAATAAATGTTTATTGACACAATGAGGAACGCTTTACAGAATCCAAATACATTTTTATTTATATTCATACATATGTATATATACATATCAAACACTGGGTATAAATCCTGTGTAATGCCCCTGGGGATCAGGGTATTTCTCCCTTATGCGCCAAACACAGCAGCTGGGAATAACTCGTCAGTTACCTTGACCCAGTGCTCCATGCTGCCAAAAGATAAACTGACGATAGGCAGCATACCTAAATTGTCTGTTTTCATCCCCTGGCTCTCTCATTTCACCAACTACCAACACATCATTTCTATAGTCTATGTGGAGATGCAAATAACCGTCTTCCAAACAATAGAGCTCAAAATGTGCCAATTTGCTTATGCAGTGCACTGGCTCCTGCCGACAGCATTTCCTTTAAGCGTCTGTGGCCATTTCCCTACAGTTTCTACAAGTGCACCAAGGAAGAGCACCAGCAGGTGGAAGAGAGGGTGTGCCCTCCAGAGTTTGTAGTGCATCAAACAGTACTCCTGGGTTTCTGGAAAAGAGCTGGGATGCTAGGTGTCTCAGGCTCACCTGCCGCCAGTAGGAGGACCTGCTGGCTGTCCTCCTCGTCCACCCCTTTGGCCTCGTCCACCTCTCGCTCCTCTCCTGCTTGGTCTGCGGCTTCTCTCATCTTGCCAACTGTCATCGGACTCACTTGGGACAGCAGGACTTGCATCACTCTAAAAATATATTATTTTGGTTCCTGATTACTGTATATAATATAGTACACTGCATATAAACTGTATATCATTCTTTGGGTATTGACATGCTAGTATATTATTTGCAACATTTTTACGTAACGTAAGTGGTCTCATACAATCGCATTCGGTGAACTGGGAGACGGTGATTAGCGTAAATGTCATCGAATGCAGTGCGCAAGGTTGGATGCTACATGGAGTTGCCGAGAGAATAGTGGCTGTAATTGAACAGTTGGACGTGTCTTGTAATATAAGTATGCCTAGGTCATTACAATAAAAAGGCAGTTCGCCCGAAGGCACCATTCAAAGCTGGAAAGGAAGGGTAGTCTGATTGCGCATCTGGCTACATGCATACATTATTTCGTAGGTGTTATCACGGTTATGCCAAAAATCTGTCCCAACTATAATGCAATGTTGCTGAACTGTACAATTATATTTTGATAAACCAAATGTGTACAATGTGGCATAACAACACAGAAACATACACCGTAGGACTCGTCGCTTGCCATCTGAAGTAGTGGTGGTTTTTTCCTTAATTTTTTTTTACGTTTTTTACGTTGTTCATACAACATAGACCATCCTCTTTTCGTCAGTGTCCTAAAGCTTACTTCAAATTCAGATTAAGATTGATTTATTCAGACATATTTCACATACATTACATGAATATACTAAATGTTTACACATTATGCCTGAAATGGAATAGACAGAGGCCAAAGCTGATTGCGCCTATCCCTATTTACAAAACTAAATAGCTGTCAACGTTTACCTTTACATATACTTTTTCAGCAGTTCCATGTTGAGCAATCCCACAACTTCAGCACACAGATCAGAGAGCGCTCCAGTGCTGGAAAATTGTTTTGTTATTGTTGGGCACAAAAAGTCGAGGGCCCGTGGGAGTATTCCATCTGAATCTGGCAACCTGTGTCAGGGAGGGTGGGAGAGGACTACAGAATTTTGACCGTGATTGCAGTACCACTTTTGGCCAGATTTTTACATATTGCTCCTTTAAACAGGTACAACATAAATATCTAAATAGTAAATAACATCTGAAAGCTAAAAGACTAGCAATAAATCAAATGCCTTCAATATGAACTGTATAAAGTAGAATAAATAAGAAGCTTCATTCAAGTAATAAATTGTGAATGTAAATGTGTGTGTGTTAAATGTAAAGTGTGTTTTCAATGTAAAGTGCACTTTAAATATAGATTGTACTCGAGGTACTGTGAGATTTCATAACACTTTGAAGCAACTTTAGTTAAAGTTAAACTCATCATTCTATCAATGTGCAGAAGCCAGTACTTTTCCCTTGTTTTGTCTATCTGAAGGCCAAGCTACATGGCACTGTGGCAGCTGCTGATTGGAGGTCTCCATGCCTCCGCTCTGTATAATACACTTGCATTCTGTTGTTCGTGTTGTTCGTGCTGTCTCTACCATCGACAATAAAACATTTCTGTCTGAATGAAAGACGCGATCCCAGACTATGTCATCTTCTTCAGTACTCAATTCAATTCAATAATCAAATGGTTCAAAGTAATGTTGCACAACAGTTCATTCATTCAGATGGAGTCTGAATTATATTCAAAACAAATATGGCCGCGTGGGCATTCGTATCAAAAAGTCACCAAAACACGCCTTAAAGTGCGAGCTTGATGCAATGATCTAACATAAATAAGTGTAGCCTACAGTTCGGTTGGACCACTTTGACAAATAAAACGAGTCTCAAAAAGATACGAGTTGAAATGTACGCAGCAGCCGACTGTAGCTCTATGCTGCGTTAGCATTAATCATAGCTACAAGATAGCAGGAGATTGCGCTACATTCTAAACAATAACACGTAAAATACATCATCTCACGACTCACCGGTGAGTAGGGGCAATTTACAGAGTCCGAGAGAGGATCCTTGGAGGTTATGAGGGTGGATCTGCAGTATTTAGGTTTTAATCAGTATCAAGCACTCGTAAGGTTTAACACAAATTACGCAGTGTATTGACTCACCAATAAGTAGAGAAAGGGACGGATCACACACAAATGGGTCCGCAGGACCACATGTTGATGTTAAGTTTTAGTTTGCTTGTTTGAAGAGTTTTCAAACAGCGCCACAACAGATAGCAACGTGAGGGCTGCTGCCAGCTATCAACTCCAGCGGTGTGAGAGGACGTGACGCGGGGGAGCGGCTACTATATGGGAAACGGCTCTGCCAAAATAAAAGCAACCGTTAATAGGTGTTAGCATGTATGGATATTACAATGTACATTGTGGTAAATAAATCTAAGGTAACCAAAGTGAGACTGGCATAATGTAAAAACGAATATTAGCCTTGTTAGCATGTTTTATGATATTGTAACCCTGTTATCTTGTTGCTCACCAGTTCTTGAGGCTGTGGGTGTGCGGGTTACAATTTATAATAAAAAACAGTGTTCTATCTCGAAGTTTTCCTTGCTAAAATAACCAAACGGCAGGACAATAAAAGTTCACCTCTTCGGTTTATTTTACACTCTGCCTCACGCGCACACGGGGGCTCTCTCTCTCTCCTCTCTCTCTCTCTCTGACAAACAGTGTTGAAACAAATACTAATAAAACAATATTAATCAATAACAGAAAATCATGAACTAATATACTCAAATAATATTAAGATTACCCAAATGTAAATAAGTAATTACAAAAATCTATGTTACAGTCTTCCCCTGCTACAAATAAAAATGTCCTCATTTCAAACAGAACATATATAAGTGCTGTAGTACAACCAAAAATGCAGAACCATGCATATATGAAACACAGGTATGAACATAGGTGCACTGTCAAAAACAACAACAGACTGTGCACTTTTTTTTTTTTTTTTTTTTTTTTTACATATACCGTATTATGTCACAAAGTCTCTGTATTTTTGTGGACAACAAATACTACGACCAAAGCGGGTCACACAAGGTCGGGAGATGGGGGAGGCTGGCGGGGACACAGAGCTGGAAGTAGAGGGATTAGAAACATGGGGTGATGGTGGAACGCTCTGAGTGGGCTCTACCGCAGGTGCAGTCTCAGGCTGCCTACATCGTAAAGGCACATATGGCGGAGTAGGAGGGTGAAACGGCAGGGCCCCTGATAAAGCAGTAAGGGGAGGAGCTGCCGGAGCATTGTCCAAGCCGGGTGAAATCGTCCCGTCCATATCCACAACATTCTGCAAAGTTCCTTTAAATGCCTTGAGTCTGTTGTGGTGTACAATCCATGTCCGTGAATGTGCTTTCTTAGGATCTGTAATTTCATAAGTCACACCTGGAAGTCCATCTTGTGTCACACGTTTCAAAATAACAAACGGCCCTTTCCATTTCAGAGCCAACTTATTCATTTTGTTAGCAGGGTCATCTAGTAGCACAAGGTCCCCTTGCTCATGTGGGTGAAACACAACCTTTTTGTCATATTGGGATTTCTGACGTAACTTACTAATTGTGGATTTGCGAGCAAAGTCAGCAAATGCATATTTCAAACGTGAAGCTAATTATGAAGCATATGCTGCAGGTGTACTTGGTGTAGGTGTTGTCACACTGGGACTACAGTTTAAAACAACAGCCAATGGCAAGTTTGGTTCCCTACCATGCACAAGTAAGAATGGGGAAAATCCTGTGCTTGAGTGTACACTTGAGTTGTATGCAAGTTCCACTTGAGGAAGAAACTGATCCCATTCACCACCCGTTTGTGCTATGTACTTAGAAAGTTGGTCTTTTAAGGTCCTATTTAATCTTTCTACCATGCCATCTGACTGTGCATGATATGGGGTAGTGCGTGTTTTGGTTATCCCCAGTAACCTGCACAAGTGTTTGACAAGATTGGATTCAAACTGCCTACCCTGGTCTGTATGGATTGACTCAGGCAAGCCATGTTGTCTGACATAGGCCTCAAAGATACATTTTGCAACTGTAATTGCATGTTGGTCTTTTAGTGGAAATAGATTTGCATAACGTGTAAAATAGTCTGTAATAACTAACACATACCTATTACCCTGTGATGTTATAGGTAGTTCAGTAATATCTGCGGCTACTTTTTGAAAAGGTCTGTCTGTCTCGATACATTGTAACGGAGCACGCTCATGTGGTATTGGAGATGCTCGTTTTTGACATGGGAGACACTCAGAACAAAAAACATGGACATCCCGTGTCATGTATGGCCAATAACAGATCCGCCTAGCTCTTTGGAGCGTGCGCTCTGCATTCAAGTGTCCACTTAACGGATCACCATGAATAGCTGCTAAAGCTGTGGAAATCAGCACTTTAGGCAAAATGACTTGAAAACTTACAGGTGAGTGAGGGCTATGTTTAAACTTTCTACAGAGGATCCCATGTCTAATGTTAAGGTTGGGAAACTCATGCCATAGCTTTCTCAAAGAATGGGAGGAGTTTCTCAGTTTACCAATAGGAGGCCTACATGCACTATCATTCACCCATGATAACACTGTACTAAGACACTAATCACTTTGTTGCTGTTGTTTCAACTTTTCTGAGTCAAAAGAGAGTGAGTCACCAATGTCCCGAATAAAATTGTCATTTTCATTGTCCACACTCGTATTGTCTGTAACAGCCACTGTAACATGCTGCTGCACTTGATTTTCTTCCGTGCTGGGACGCCTGGACAAGGAGTCAACATTGGCATGCTGTTTACCTGCCCGATGTATGAATGTATAGTCAAAAATGTCCAACTCAAGGATCCATCTGCTGCGCCTGCCAGTGGGATCATTGTCAACTGCAGATTTCTTTAGACTCAGCAGCGGCTTATGGTCTGTGATCACCACAAAGGAACTGCCAGATAGAAAATGTTTAAAATGTCTCACAGACCAAACCACTGCAAATAGTTCCCGATCAAAAGTAGACCATTTTCTTTCTGAGGGAGTGAAATTGTGGCTTGCGTAGGCGATAACATGTTCCTTATTGTCCTGTTTCTGTGCTAA